GCTTCGAGCAGATCTGCCAATCAGAGGGAAGGGTTCTTCCTCCCGACGCTAGGGTTCCCGCTTAGCTCTTTTGCTGAGGAAATCGGAAGTTGGCTCATGTGTTGTTCCTTGGGTTCTGCTGAGGCTAGAGCTCTCTGCACCCGCGACACGGTGATCAAGGGCTTCTGTTCCCATAGTGGGAGGAGTGGCCGGCCATGGTGAGCGAGGGGATGCTTTCTGCAGACTGGGAGGAGTGGCCAGCTGAGCCGTGGGAACCGGGTGTTGGGTCCTCCCGGGTCTGAGTGAGAGCCAACAGCCAGACGCAGAGTTTGGTCTGATCTTGCCCGGTTCTGTGTGTCCTGCGAGTCCCACATGTTCCTTCTCGGTCCTGCGTGTCGCGCCTGTTTCTTCCTGATCCTGTGTGTTCTACATGGTTCTTGCAACCCTGTGGGCTGGGGCAGAAGCCTCTGAATAACTTAACTCCGTGGGCTGTGTTTGTGCAGAGCACTGGGAACAAGACTTAGAAATATCCATGTTGTTGATGTCACTGTGAAATGCTGGCTCCTGTAGTCCCTGTATTGTCACCTTGGAAGGCAGATTTGCCAAACACAGAGAACTCTGGTCTCTCTAGTATCTTTCAGGAGTTCTGCACTTTCAACATTTAACATTTAGGTTTAGTATCTGTCAGTGGTTAATTTTGTGGAGCTGGTACAGGACATCTCCTGTGTAGAGTAGCACTCCACTGCTAAACTGTGATGTAGAAGAGTAGAACGATGGTAATAGAATTGATGGTAAAATGATTTACCCATTCTTAGGAGACATTAAGTCACAAAGTAGAATTAAGTTAAGGGAGGGCTGTCTCCCAGATATTCCTAAGATAAGTAGTATGCCAACCTTGCCTTTTAGAGATTAGTATAAGAGTAAATGCTTGTTCCCCAGAATTAACCAGCCATTAAGCAACATTCCCATAACAAAGGAGAAAATGCTAATTTACAACCAGCAAAAAGGGTCCCCCCATTGCCTGCCCCCTGTCAAAGAACAGGCCTCTAACATGCTGCTCAAGGGCTTGTAACAGGGTCACAAACAACATTAAGTCCTGATGTTCCTTCAAGGATATTTTAACTCTAGAACAGCTGTATCTCCAGTCTCTTTGAAAAGTGGTTTTGAGTCAACGTCTCTGATGTAGATTGAGGTGGACTTGAACCCTGTCTGTATCCCTACAGGGCATTCCCTTTGCTATTGTCCTGACTAAGCACCAGGAATTCTTGGACTGCAGGTCTGTAGCACCACAGAGTTCTAAAGTCACCACTTTGAGTCACATAGTGGACTGTCTGTCCATTGCAGTAACAGGAAAGGATTTGTGTGTGGATCATGGCATCTCCCTTCAGACCAAAAGAGGAGGAACAGTGTCCTGTGTACACTGCACGGGGAACAGAGTAGGCAATAGCTAGACCATGGGCTGGAGTTTAAGGCAGTGAGCTGCAGAGGTCTCCATCATAAAAAAGGACCTGCTGGGCAGGGGGAGTGACTTCCTGTGTAATTTAACTCCTGGTATTATTCCTTCCATGTGAATGAAGATAGGCAGAATTGGTGGATGCACAATTTAGGGAGGGTAACTTGAAGTACCGAGTCTTCAGTTTCCAGTTAGGGAACTCCCCTGTGCAGATATGTGCAATCCTGGTTAACACAGTTAAGTCAGCTCAGAGGTTTGAGACACAGGCCACTGGCTTTACCTCCATGTGTCAGCTTATAGCACCCAGCAGCTGACAGTTTACATGGGAAAGTCATGCAGTGTCTTATGAATGGCATTCTCTCTAGCAGGGAAGTGCCTACTCTGTTGCAAAGTCAGTACTGCTAAGTGTTCTTCCAGTTATTTCTATCATTTTAAAAAGTCAATTAGGGTTATCATTTTTAAAATTTCACTTTCTTTAAATGCATTACAGCTTGAATCTCTATTTCCCAATGTTTCCCTTATTTCCTTAGGTGCTATTTATTTATTTATATTGGTTTATAGAGCAGTGGTTCTCAACCTGAGGGATAAGGCTACCTTTAACAGGAGTGGCCTAAAACCATTGGAATACACAGATATTTTTATTACAATTCATAACAGTAGCCAAGTTTTAGTCATGAAGTAGCAATGAAAATAATTTTATAGTTGGGGGCTCACCACCTCATAAGGGACTGTATTAAAGCATGAGAGCATTAGGAAGGTTGGGAACCACTGGTTTAGACCAGTGTCCCCTGTAGCCCAGGCTTGCCTCACACTACATAATTGAGAATTGCTTAGAACACCACATCCTGCCTCTGCTGCCCAGTGCTGGGAAGACAGTCCTGCAAATCCTTCCATGCTGGGCCTTGACTGCTCAGTGAGATGGAAAATAGACCAGTGAATGAGTGTCCTCCAACCTCTCTAGATTTCACTGTGAAATTACAGATGAAGTGGGACCTGTGTAAGAGTTGAGTTCACTGACCCACTGTAAAGCAGGTGTAGTCACAGCACGGAAAGGGATGGCAAGAAGAGGGCGAAAGCTTTCCTGCTGTGACAGTTGACAGACAGCAGCAATGAGTATTGAGGTCATCGATTTTAGACATTCCATAAATGTCCTAACTGGCCATTTCTCTGTTCCACAGACTAGACAATCAAGAATCTGGATAAAGAACTGAATTTTCGTGAAACAAAATTACAGTCGTTACACCAGTTCAACCTAAATAGAAAAACTGGATAAAATGGTCTGGCCCTGCCTCACGTGACTCTTTTCCAGGTTTAAGATTTACAGCCTGGGAGAAATGCATGAGTAGTACTTAGTGTGCTCTAGTACACATCCCTAGTCTCTGGAGCACATGGCCATAAAGCCTGTTTCAACTTTCTAACATAATTTTTGGAATTATAATTACCTAATTTCCACTATCTCTTTCCTGGTTCCAAGCCCTCCCATAGATCCTTCATTGTGTTCTAATCCATGACCTCATTTTGGTTCTACAATAGTTACTGTTTGAATGTGACCTGTGTTTGGCTTCAGGACCTCTCAGCTATGAAGCAAAGGGTTGGCTTCACTGGGCATTGAGTGTGTAATGGAATGTGCATGCAAAGGACCCAGTGCCTTGAAAGAGGAATAGGAAGTGCTCTAGAGAATGGAATATTCTCTAAACTACAAGTTTCTCACACTAGATACCTGTCCAACCCTAGTGTGGAAGGGCAGAGCTGGGAAGGCTTGTGCTGTTTGAGTCATTGGATCTCTGCTCACCCAGTAGGTGGTGATGTCCTGAGATAATGTCCTGAGATACAACTGGGTGGTCCTGACTAATGAGGAGCTTTGGGAAGGCTTAGCCATCAGGAGCACCAGTGGGAGGTAGCTTCCAAGTTCTCTTTGGGATTCTCCTCTGCTTCTGCTATAGGGAGCTCTAATGAACACCATAGCTATGCCATGGTGAGTGTGGGGGCCACTGTCCAGGAAGAGCAGGTTGGCTGAGCTGTCAGAGTCTGAACTGCTGGGACTGGGATAGACCATGAGCCAGACTGTGTTTCTGTTGGTCCCTGTGGTGACCTGGGTAGTGTCCCTTGGCCTCTGATCCTTACTGAGTATGAATTCCCTGGGGATGAGAAGGCTCTGCCACCCTGGCATGGGAGGCTATGATGCTTGTAATATCACTGTCCAGTGTGCACACACAGTCTTTGCTTCTGTGACAGTGGGAATCTGGGAAGACAGATTGGAAAACTGAAGGTTTGGTTTCTGCAAGTTCTGGATGTTTACTTTTCCCTTTCAGGTTTGTCTTATAAATGTTACAGACAGTTTAGAAAATGGTAGAAAGGGAGTGATGGGGATCATCCTTCAGCAATACATGATGAGAATGCTTTTAGCTTTCTGTTACTGCCAGCCACTGTGATGTGATTCAGTGAAGGTCAGTTCCAGGGGACAAAAGGAAGCTCTGAGCTGCAGAGGTATCTCAGGTTGCATGGTTTTGGGCAGGTGGATAGGGCAGATGCCACATCTTGTGACATAATCTATGTGGTTGGAATCAGACATTAAATTACTCTTCTACAGTGTTTTCCGTGTGGGCATCACTGGGGCTGGGTTTGCCTGAAAACACAAGGGAGCATGAAGGCTGCAGAGCTATAGCAGGGTCTGCAGGAGATCACCTCCCTTTGCAGAGAGAGCTCTAGAACATGGGGCCTCTCTTAGAGAAGTATCAGTAGCTAGAGGGTCAGAAACAACAGGTTAAGGTCACTTTGAGTTGAAAGTCGTGAAATCTGTGTTTATTTAATTTCTATACACATAGAGTCTTAGGCAGCTGCCTGCCTTTCATCTTGCCTTAAAAGCACTGGGCTATAGGCATGCACTGTTGCAACTGGCTTTATAATGCAGAAGTAAAGGGGTAGTTGCAAGATGAGTACTGTATATGTTAACCCACTTTCTTAGTCCTGATGTTTACTAAGAAGAGTTTTTGGAGTGATCTTTTGGATAGTGTAGTCTTGTGAGGGAGAGCCACACTTAAGAATTGACACAAAGCCATGTATACAGTTCTGTTGACTTTGTAAGTTCCATTTCAATGGATCCTTAGGGAGTCTCTCTCTCTGTCTCTCTCTCTCTCCTTCTCTCTGCCTTTCTGTCCCTCTGTCTCCCCCTTTCCTTCTCTTTGGTAAAAAAGATCATCAGTCAGTTGCTGAGGTGGCTTGGGTAGGATTCTGATTTAATGAAGTAAAAACATGGGCAGAAGGGTTCTGCACTGTGCCTTGCTCTACATGGAGTTCATAATCCTGTCCTGGAGGTTCTCAGCAAATTGCTGCTTACATCTGGGAAAGGAGCAAGTCCATACTCCTATGTTTTATGTACTTTGTCTTCAAACATGGCTCATTGGTATTTGAGAAATCACTAAAAAAAGGAATAGTGTCACTGTCTACACAGGCAGTCTACACAGCAAATTTTATTAATTTTGTGTGATGGCTAATATTGATTTTCACCTTGATAAGAGTCAGTCAAGGGACACTCTTCCAGTCACACCTCTGAGGGCTTATTTATATCATGTTATGCTCTGAGGTGTGCTTATGAGAGATTATCTTGTATATTAAGTTCATTGAGATGAGAAGACTCTTCTGCCTTTTAGAAATGATAGCACCATTCCATTCCATGGATTTGGTACTGAATTATATAATAATGACCAACATTTATCACCATCTGCTTCTTGACTATGGATACAGTGTGATCAATCACCATTACCT